TATTTCTAAGGAAAAATGATGTTTTTGTGTTTCATTGCATTTCTCTGTTGAAATAACTTAATACAAACAATTTATATAGCAACATTTTGGAGTTTGTACTTACAGTAATTTCTGTTGTTCCCGAGTCCATCCCGACCAGGATGATAGGATCTATTAGGGTCCCAGCTATGGGAAAATAGTTGATTCCCCAACTGGGGTCAAAACACTATGAAAGTGTAAAAATAGTTTTTAATCTCAGCAATACATTTTTGTAAAAGATTATTACCAGAAATATATTTTGTAGAAAAATTATTAACATATATAAATTTTTGTAAAAAAAATATTACCAGCTGTACATTTTTGAAAAAAAAAAAAAACACAATTAATAGCAGCAATACATTTTACATTTTTAAAAATAAAATAGTATTAGCAGCAATAAAAATCTTGTCGGCATTAAATAACATACTGAGGTTGAAATGCCGTAAACCAAACCAAACCAAACTAAAAACATTTATGCTTATGAGGGTTTAGAATAAGCCGATTGCATTACCTGCAGAGACCCCATCAAAATGGTCACATTCCCGGTGGAAATGTGACCCATTGAAGGTAAAAATTATTACATTTTGGGAAAAATATTAGCAGCAATAAAAATCTTATCGGCATTAAATAACCCATAGATTTGATATGCTGTAAAACAAACCAAACCAAACCAATATAGACTGAGATAGATAGATAGATAGATAGATAGATAGATAGATAGATAGATAGATAGATAGATAGAAAATATTACCAGCAATAAAAAATATAGTCGGAATTAAATAACCCATTGAGGTTGATATGCTGTAAAACAAACCAAACCAAACCAATATAGACTGAGATAGATAGATAGATAGATAGATAGATAGATAGATAGATAGATAGATAGAAAATATTACCAGAAATAAAAATATAGTCGGAATTAAAAAACTCATTGAGGTTGAAATGTCGTAAACCAAACTAAAGCAAAATGTAAGTAATTTAATACACATTTGACATACAAGAATAACACAATATCAAATAGGAAGATCAATAACAGCACATAATTCTATGTATAAAAAGAAAGACAAAATATACAGCATTGATCAAAAAGCAATGAAAATTGCCATTTACAATGTTTCATTAGAATGCAGTTGTCATGTTTCATCTGGATAAAAGAAAAAGGCAAACATGGACCTTTGTGTCTGTAAAAAAGAGTGTCAAAAGGATGATTTTTCCCATGAGACCGATATTATTATCAGCAATATATTTTTGAAGAAGAAATTGTTATCCGCAATAAAACTATTTCCGGCAGAAAATAACACACTGAGGTTGATATGCCGTAAAATAAACGAAATCAAACCGCTGATACAAAAAAAAAAACAAAAAAAAACAAGATTATTAACCAAAATTTCGAAAGTTTTAAAAGGGATCAAAATTTAATTGAATGATCATTTCCTCTTAGTAACATAAAAAATTTCAGGATAAAATTTTTTTTCCATGAGTTTTATTAAGTTCATCATGTATGTTAATTGCTTAACGAGTCAGTAGAGGTATATATATATATATATATATATATATATATATATGTATTATTATAAAATATGATTCCATCGCTACATAAGAGTTCTCATGTTTCAAAAACAAAGTTAAAAAAAACAGATCTATTTCATTCTCAAGCGAATTTTGGAATCAATTTTTTTGATTTCAAAATTCGCTTGAGGATGAAATAGATCTGTTTTTTTAACTTCTGTTTTTGAAACATGAGAACTCTTATGTAGCGATGGAATCATATTTTTAAATAAATAATTATAATTTAAGCTCTACTTCTGTACTGAGCACTGTTTTTAAAAAAATAAAAACAAAAATACTAAAGAACTTTAGATTATTAACTTAACGGTTCTTTCCTATATTTCTATATTTGCACGCGCACACACACGCACTCACACACACACACATACACACATATATAAACATAAATATATATATATATATGTGTGTGTGTGTGTGTGTGTGTGTGTGTGTGTGCTGAGCAGAACTTAGTTATAGATTCTGGGAGAGAGCATGATCTAACATGATCAACAATCTGAAAAACGCCAGACTCGGTCACGATGACTCGTGACTTCGTGCTAGCACAAGTGATCCGTCTGAATTTCACCACAACTTGGGTCACACTTTCCAAATGTGTCACACGCTGTGATCATCCACCTCCAAAACGTCAGGAATTGTCCTTCCTGACAAATCGACTATGGTGAGGTTCGAACCCAGGTTCAGAAAGCGAACGTCCTAACCCATTATATATATATATATATATATATATATATATATATATATATATATATATATATATTATATATATATATATATATATATATATATATATATAACCAACGATATTTTAAGATGGAAATGAACGGGTAAAAGAATTTTTCGCATTATTATAGTATAAAACGACCTATTAAAATTATAATATATTGAAACTCCAATTTTCAATTGTTATTGGCTTAATTTTCTTTCTCTTTTTCCTATATATATATATATATATATATATATATATATATATATATATTTTTTGTTTAAAAATATGATTCCTTCGCTACATAAGAGTTCTCATGTTTCAAAAACGAGAGCCGAAACCATCCAAAT